AGTGTTATTAACATTTCCCCAGTTCATCCTGATGAAGAAAGTCATTGGATTATAGGGATTTGTATTTGGTCTTTAATTGATTTTTTTAACCTACATGTTTTCTTAACATCAGGAATTGGCATAGCTGTTGTAGTAATGCTTTATAAAATTAATTCTAATTTTCTGATATTAGAAGCCACTTCTAAAGGTAAAATAAATCCCAACATGTTGCAAGTTTCATGATTAGTGAACCATGATGAAAAATTTTTTGGAACTTGAATTGCCACTCCAATTATCCTGTTAGTTTCTCAATCAAACATAAAAGCTCTGACACCTTGTTTTCAAGTTACAGAATGTTAGAACATGCCAATTTGACTACATAAAACATGTATTTCCTAACATATACTTTTTATGAAAGGCATGTAAATTTCTGACCCAAAGTCAAGATCTAAAATATATCTTAATTAAAAACTTTATAAAAGTAAAAAATTTCTTAATCTTCTGTGAAATATACTGATGACATTATACTGCATGATCTGTCATTAATGACTAATAAAACTAATAACCTCCAACATGTTACTAGGTTTCACTGTTGAGACTAATGTCTACATTAGGGACTACAGCATTTACAAGGAGTTAAGGTTAGGTTCATCAGCTGATTAAATGTGTAAACACATGAAGATAGCATGACAGGATTCTTCAGTTGAGTTCATATTTTCCCAAGTAACTCTGTGGTCATGGGTTAAAGGCCGTGCCATCGCGTTTGTAGACTTACATTCAAAATTTTATTGAACTACTATTTTATGAATGTATGTCAATAAGTTTGGTATCAAGTTTCAGTATTATACATTAGTTAATTTCTTAATTTAAAAATAAATATTAAAAAAATCCTAAATATTGATTTTTGTGTGTCATATGGTATGTTGAATGTAGTATTGGTTCAAATTAGATGTTTGTGATGTCCAAATACAAAGGTAACACCTTTTTTATTGTTGAATAGTCTCTAAGAAACAAAGAATTATGGTCTTATATTGTTATAAGGGTATGCAGTGTGACCATATCTGGCCCATGGACTAAAAGGGTTTCCTGCATAAATACTTTGTAGAGGCTCAGAAAACCACATTGGGACATTCTGAGCTTTCAATTGGTTATTCACACATCATAGACAGAAGTCCAAATAAAAGCTCTATAGTTTCTTACAAATTACAAACTCAAATTATAGATATTGACAAGCTAGAATATAAGATAAGAACCTCCTATCTTTTCTATTTGCTATGATATTATTATATTTAATGAATCAACCAAGGAGTCTCCACTCACCTCTTTCATTTCTGAAGATACTTGCTTACACACACCTGCTTTGCTCAATAATGTGTGTATTAACAATTGAAAGCTCAGAATATCTCATACGTGGTTTCTGAGCCTCTGGTATTTTGCGGGAAACCCTTTCTTTTCACGGTAGATTAAGTGGTAAGGTAAGATATTATTGAGATATTATGTTTTTTTAAACCCAGATACATCTTAGTTATTAAGCCTGATAAATTATACTAGAATTCTGTGGTGTTGATGTAGTAATTTATGATATTCTGTTATTTCAAAATGTATATATAAAACCTAAAAAAATTATTTTGTTATACATTCTTCATGTGCGAAATTTGACAAGGCTCAGCAAATTACAGCAAGCGGCAAAGGAGTACGAATTTCATAAGTTGAAGAGATCATTGTTTTCTATACTTCTATATTTACTGTCCTATGTTTTAAGAAAAATAACTGGAATTTAAGAATTTATTTGTAAATAGTAATATATATATGTATATATACACACACATATGTAATGTATTATAACCAAAATGTGATTGTATTTCACAAAATACTGGTCCATTAGAAAAAATCAAAAACTGGTCACTTTGTAAAGGCCAGTTTTATACTATTTGATACGGTAACACGAGTGAACACGTCCTGCATCACTGCAACATCTATAATGTTAGTCAGACACAGCTGAAAGGTCAATAAAATGAAAATAATAGCTATATACATATGTATAATTTTATTACATTTAATCTATTTAGACTAAACATTTACAGTTTCTTGTTATAATTTGTAGTCAATTTAGAATGAAAAACCATAATTTATGTCCATTTTCTATTTTTTATGGTGGTTATGAGGTCGGTCGAATCAACCAAACCCATACAGAGATACAATAGTGAAAATAACAGATAAATTATAATTTTTTCTAAAAAAAAACGTTTGATAATTACCTGGATGATATTAGGAGGTTATAGAGATTTCACATGTGAAATTTGACAATTTTCTGATACATAAAGGTATTTTCAATATTAAAATCTAAATTACTTTGCGTGTTGGATAGTCAACATTCAAAAATAAAAAAAATACAAAAGTAGATAATTAAAAATTATTGAAACTTAATGAAAAAAATCTGATACTTTGTGGACAAATGCGTTGTAACATTTACTGATAATCGGCAAAATTTCGTGAAGATATGTGTACATTTTAAAAAGTTACAGCATAACTACTTTATGCTTACTTTGGGGAATATGAGGTGGGTGGAATCCACCCACATGCAGTAGAAGGGTTAATATGAATACATAACAGCAGGTATTACATGTAAGGACAAGTATTGTATTGTAATTGTACTGAAGAATGTCTTTGACTCATGTATGATTGCATATGCTAAGTAGATCATGACTTACTTCTAAGTGAAGAAACAGAACTTCACGGAGTAAATATTCAAATGTATTAACAAAGTTTTCCCGATGAATACAAATAATTAGTTTGTTAATAAAAATTTGTTATAAAAACCCACTATTTTTGCAATTATGCAATAAATGTAATGACACTCTTAAAATAAATAAACAATAGTTTACTATGCTGAAATTGTATGCATATGCACTTGTTTAAATGCAACAAAAATGAGGAAACAAACTGGACTACACTGTCACAGAAAGCATCAACTGATGAAACTACACAAGTCTCAAAGAAAATGCAAGGACCTCATTAATATTGTATATTCATTGGAATCCTTAAAAATCTCGTTGAAATCTTACTGTCATAAGACTATGTCAAATTCATAGTTCCATAACAGATCATGAAAAATCTTACTAATTCCTGTAGATAAATCTTGAAAGACAATACTATAAAGCCAACATAGTTGTGGCAGAATTATACCTTTAGTAATTTGTTATAAATACAGAGAAATAGTGGCTAACTAAATAAAGGTGTCATTGAATGTTTTTCACATATACATACATAGAAAATCAGTTACAAATTAATGTGCCAACATAAATTTTATGTTCATATGAGTCAAGTTTGATAATTAGAACACACAAAGATCAACTGGTTAAACATAAGAGCTACAAATTAGTATTAAAAACACTAAAAGAAATATGTATGCTGAAATAAGGTTTATGGTGACAACTCTCTCATTAATATTGTATATTCATTGGAATCGTTAAAAATCTTGTTGAAATCTTACTGTCATAAGACTATGTCAAATTACATAGTTCCATAACGGATCATGTCAATTTGTATTTTATCAAGAGAAATAAATATTTATCAGTTTAAAAGGGTTTTATATATACACCTGGAAAAAAGTTAAGCACCCCTGTGTTTTTTTCAAGTGATTCAGATTCGACGTTCTTGTGACTGATTATAAATTACCATTCAATGTAAACGTGTTTATCAAATGAAATTATGCATTAT